CTCAATGAGAAATATCTTACGAAGAGCATTGAGAATCGGCTTCACTTGAAGAAGAGATTTTACCAGTTCAAGATGAAGAGAGGGGTTTCCATCAGGGAGCATGTCAACAATTTCACTAAGCTACTTTCAGATATGGCCAATGTTGATATTATAGTTGAGGATGAAGACAAGGCGATGCTACTTCTGTGTTCGTTGCCCGAAGATGATTATGGTACGTTCGTTCTCACTATGATCAATGGAAGAACTACAGTTAGCTACAAGGAGGTGACCTCAGCTTTGGTGAACTATGAGTTGAGGAAGAGTGATGGTGAACCCTCCGAGAAGGCATCGGGAGATGCGTTAGCAGTTCGAGGCCGAGATCCAAACCGTCGTCAGTTTAACCGCTCAAAGTCAAAGAATAGGAGTGCCTATAAGAGTGTTGGTAGAAATCAATGTCGGTATTGTAAAGAAGAAGGACATTGGAAGATTGACTGCCCAAAGTGGAAAGAAAAAGCCGGAAAGAATAAGGGGAAAGCTGCACAAGCTTCAGAAGTGAATGTTGCAAAAGCTATTGGTGAGCATTCAGATTCAGATTCTTCAGGCTATTCGTGCCCTGCTTTACCGTCGGTTTGCTATACGGTTTCCACGGAGTGGATGATGGATTCGGGAGCTACATATCACATCTGCCCTAAGAGGAAGTGGTTTTCTAGCTTTGAGGAACTGGAAAGAGGGGACGTCGTGCTTATGGGTAATGATCACGTATGCCCTATTGGTGGTATTGGTTCAGTCCGGATCAGGATGCATGATGGTGTAGTGAGGGAATTGAAGGAAGTGAGGTTCGTGCCGCAGTTGACGAAGAACATCATTTCTCTTGGGACTTTGGAGGCAGCAGGATATCGAGTGATCTTAGAGGATGCTACAGTGAAGGTCACGAAGGGTTCTATGGTGGTGATGCGAGGTGTCAGGGAAAACTACCTATACTACTTGAAGGGCAAGACAGTTACAGGGGGTCTGGCAGCTTCTATCACTACAGAGGAGGACACTACCACCTTATGGCACATGAGACTTGGACACACAGGAGATAAGTCCCTACAGTCATTGGCTAAACAGGGGCTATTAAAAGGTGCTAAGACCTGCAAGATGGAGTTGTGTGAGCATTGTGTACTTGGGAAGAAGACTAGAGTGAAGTTCGGCACCGCTGTTCATAACACCCAAGGTACATTGGATTATATTCACACGGACGTTTGGGGTCCTTCCAAGAACACATCTCTTGGTGGGGCCAACTATTTTGTCACTTTCATTGATGATTATTCCAGGAGGAATTGGGTATACCCGATGAAGCATAAACATCAGGTCCTGGATATTTTTGTGGAGTGGAAGAAGAAAGTGGAGCTGCAGACAGGTAGAAAGGTGAAGACTCTACGTTCAGATAACGGTGGAGAGTACAAGAGTGATCCGTTTCTGCAGTTTTGCCGGGATCACGGCATTAGAAGACACTTCACAGTTCGAGAGACACCGCAACAGAACGGGGTGGCTGAGAGATTGAACCGTACCTTGCTGGAGAAGGTGCGGTGTATGATGACGCAGAGTGGATTGCCTAGATCTTTTTGGGCCGAGGCGTTGGTTTATGCGAGCCATCTTGTGAACAGGTTGCCGTGCACTGCGATAGACGGGAAGACTCCTTTGGAGCGTTGGTTTGGTTCGGTGGCTAGTGACTATGAGTCGCTTCGGATATTCGGGTGTCCAGCTTATTATCATGTCAGTGATGGCAAATTAAATCCGAGAGCGAGGAAAGCAGTCTTTGTGGGATTTAGGGATGGAGTCAAAGGCTTCAAGTTATGGGATCCACAGGACAAGAAGATAGTTATTAGCAGAGATGTCACATTTGACGAGGCGTACATGATGAGGCCTCGAGCCCCTCAGCAGGTGGAGGGAGACCAGACAGGAGAGATATCGCAGCAGGTGGAGGATGATGTGACTCCACCCACTCCAGAGAACACTGTATCCATTGAGGCTCCTACAGAGGTGACACTGGGAGGAGATGAGATGACAGATGGGCAGATACAGGATACAGTAGATCATGGGACTCAGGAACAGGGTCATGTTCAGAGGACCATTGCAGCAGATAGACCGAGGAGAGAGATTCGTCGGCCAGCTAGGTATAATGATGTCATGGTCGCATATGCATTATCAGTGGAGGTCGTTGATGATATGGTTCCAGCCACATTCAGGGAGGCAGAGTCTAGCCCCGATTCGATCAGGTGGAGGGAAGCTATGGAGGAGGAGATGCGGTCTCTTCAGAAGAACGACACTTGGACACTTGCACATCTACCTAAGGGTAAGAAAGCTATTGGTTGCAAGTGGGTATATGCGAAGAAGGAGGGATCTTCTATTGGGGACATTCGGTTCAAAGCCAGATTAGTTGCCAAGGGATATGCACAGCTTGAGGGCATTGATTACAACGAGGTATTTTCACCCGTTGTGAAGCATTCGTCGATTCGGATTTTATTGGCGTTGGTGGCACAGTTGGATTTGGATTTGGTCCAGATGGATGTGAAGACAGCCTTTCTACACGGTGATTTAGATGAGGAGATCTACATGACACAACCACAGGGTTTCAAAGCTGCAGGAAAGGAAAATTTGGTTTGTAAGCTGAAGAAGTCTCTTTATGGTTTGAAGCAGTCACCAAGACAGTGGTATAAGAGATTCGACGGCTTTATGATTGGCCGAGGGTACACGAGGAGCCCATATGACCCATGTGTTTATATGCACAAGCTACAGGATGGTGAGCTCATATATTTGCTTTTATATGTTGATGATATGCTTATTGCTTCCAGGAATTCTTCAGCTATTCGAAAGCTGAAAGAGGAGTTATCATCCGAGTTTGAGATGAAGGATCTTGGAGAGGCAAAGAAGATATTGGGTATGGAGATCGAGCGAGACAGGGTGAAGGGGAAATTGAAGCTTACACAGAAGAGCTACTTGCAGAAGATGTTGAAGAAATTCAGCTTTGATGGCAATGCAAAAGCAGTTAGCACACCATTGGCTCCCCACTTCAAGCTTTCAGCGTTGATGTCACCTGTTTCAGTTGAGGACAGAGATTATATGTCGAAGGTCCCATATGCCAGTGCAGTAGGTAGCTTGATGTATGCGATGGTGTGTACGAGGCCAGATTTTTCACAGGCCGTGAGCATGGTATCGAGATACATGCATGACCCCGGGAAGGGTCACTGGGAGGCCGTGAAGTGGATTCTACGGTATGTTCGAGGCACCGTGGATGTTGGTTTAGTGTTTCAGAAGGATGAGAAGGACGGGCAGGCTTGTATTGGATATGTGGATTCAGACTATGCTGGAGATCTTGACAAACGCCGGTCTACGTCAGGTTATGCTTTTACTTTGGCAGGTGCACCTGTATGTTGGCGTTGCACGCTTCAGTCCACAGTGGCTCTCTCTACTACAGAGGCAGAGTATATGGTGGTTACTGAAGCTATTAAGGAGGCTTTATGGTTGCGTGGATTATTGGAGGACTTGGGGATTGCTCAGGAGACTATTCGGATATATTGTGATAGTATGTCGGCTATCTATTTGGCAAAGAACCAGGTTTATCATGCGCGCACGAAGCACATCGACGTCAGATTCCACTTTGTACGGGACGTCTTGGATGATGGAGATGTCATATTGGAGAAGGTCCACACAAATGACAACCCTGCAGATATGTTGACCAAAGCTGTTTCAGGAGTTAAATTTGGTCATTGTTTGAAGCTTTTGAACATCCTTCAGTGCTGAGGCCTTTGGAGACCATTATTATGAACTACGTTCGACTTGATTCCTTGGGCAAGAGGATACGTAGGCAGTCTTTCAGATGCAGTCGGTTTGATCAGTTGATTCAGTCAGGAAAACCAGGCGGCGGTCGACCGGTCCGGTCGACCGGATTCGTGCACAGGTGGTCGGTCGACCGGTGCGGTCGACCGAGGGGTTCTCTGGATTTTTGGGTTTTCTACTGAGAGCTGGTCGGTCGACCGGGCCGGTTGACCGGAATTGATCGCGGTCGACCGGGTCGGTCGACCGACGAAGCGGATATCAGTTTTTCCAGGTTTTCGACCCGGTTCGTTTTGTAAGTTCTATATATACCTAAACCTGTTTGTTTAGGGTAGAGGTTGGACGAATTTGAGCAGCCAAAGAGAGAGAATCATTGCATCCAATTGTGAGAGAGCTTTGAGAGATCTAGAGTTTTGTTTTAGGGTTTGGTCTGAGAGATTTGTAACCCTATTTGTATTCTCTTGATTTCTAGTAGAAAGAACTCCCCCCTCCTTGCCCCGTGGACGTAGGCAACTTGCCGAACCACGTAAATTGTGTGTTCTTGCTGTGATTGTGGTTTGTATATTGTTTGTGGTTTAGTTCGAGTTATTGTTCGTGTTGCCCTAGAAAGCTTCCGCCGCGCACAACATGACCTCCCAACAATCTCACAATATACCACATAAAAAAGTTCACATCTTTTATTATCGGTTAACACACTTGAGAAATGACAACTAAAAATAAGTAATAAGGAACTTATAAGGTAAAAAAAAACAAGTAGTAGTCAAATATGCTCTTAGGAATGAAAAGGGAGAGGGCACGTGAATCAGAGGGCCCCAGAGATTCACGTGAGATTCACGTGCGCCCTTAGTTGACCTGGGTTTGGTTAGTGAGTTATGGACAGATCACGCGAGAAACATTTGAGGGAGGGGGTTGGAGGGTATAATGGTCAACTCAGGTGTTTTTTGAGCTGAAAATAGAAATATATGTAACATTGCAAACACGTTAGCGAATAAATGTGATATTGATGAAAATAACTTTAAAAATGGTATGTTACAATTTGAATAAAAGTAAAAGGTGTTTTTTTTTACGTAAAAAAACCCTATAAAAAACTTTCAATATGGCCATACCACTTAAAGAGCGCACCTTCAGCCAAGGGCCCAGGCCCATTCCTTCGAAATCCAACTCCTGCTTAAAAATCGCGGCGTTTCAATGCGTTATCTGATGCCCTAAATAAATAATTAATTAATTAAATCTCCATTTTCACTCTCTTCAAGCTCCCAACCCGAAAATTCTCCATCAGAGCACAAACCCTAACCCTAATCTCCCAAATCCCCGAGCTCATCCACGAGCCCCCAGGGCTGGATCTCCTTCGATCGAGAGATGGCGGGAAGCGGGAGCATAAGCAGCAAGAACGTCTTTGCAGCGCTCGATTCGTTGAATAAGAAGAAGAAGGGGTCGTCGAAAAGTTCGGGTCCGATCAGGGAGGCCGAAGCAGCGCCGGTGGTTTGGCCGGTGGCCTCGACTCTCGAGGGGAAATCGTGGGCGGATATCGATGACGATGACGATTACTACGCGTCAGCGCCGCCGCCGGTTTGGGGATCGTCCGAGATGAACGAGAAGGATGAAGAGGTCACGGCGATAATCGAAGGGGTGCGTTTTGTTGATTTGGTTTTTTTTTTAGTACATCGTGAAAAAAATTTGAGAATATGCCTTGATTTGTACTGAAAAGATTTGATTTTTGTTGCTCTGAAATTTCAGAACAGAAATTTTCTTGGAGTGAATAGAATTATGTAGGCGACGTAGGAGAACTCACCCTAAAATATAGTTTCCGAATCTCTTGGGAACCCACGGTTGACTCTTGTAGCCCCTGACATATTAGATTCAACGGACACGAACATACCTGACATGCTTTCCGCGGTCCAGGCACCGACACGGACTGGCAGCGCTCTAGTCTAGTCCTGGGTAAATCACAACAATTCCAGCATCACCACTCTAGTTTTGTAGTGGCGACTAGTCCTAGGCGAACACTGCAATCTCACTGTCACCATCCGTGCCGTTCGATTGCAACCGGACTTTGGGGTTGGTTATGGTACTGTTTATAAGATCGTAGGAGTGGAGGGAACCCAAATCTCTTATATACCCACAATTGAGTTCCCGTTTAGTCAGTTCAGGACTAACCAGACATTAACAAATTAGTTTGATCATTGTTAATGATGATTCATTCATTGTGATAACGTAGTTCATTGATGGTGCCTTAAGTGATAATACGATTTCTTTTTGCATACCTTTGCTTAATGAAATTCATCAATTATTTCTTTTGATTTTATGAATCACAATGACTAGTTAGAAAAGATGTCCTGAATTGTGCTCGTCTTTGTCAATCAAGATTGCTTTCATTTCAAGTTGATAATTTTAACATGTTACTCATCAGAAATTTTTTCTAACTGGTGTGTTGATTGTTTTGATATTTTAATATTATGTTGTTTGAATTCTGTGATAGGACACCATGATCTTTTATTATCATTTGGTTGACTTGTGAAATAAGAATAATAAGTAGCCTGTCTTACTCCTATGCAGAGATGATGTGGTTAGTCATGCAAATATTTTTTGTTGAAGGGTTATTTCAGCAATATTTTATGCATAAGTAAATGGAAGTTCTGTATGATTTAGTCACCATACCTTTGCACATGTTCACTGTCTATTACGGGCTGCTTGTTTCGTGATTAAAACCTGGATATTGTGTTTCCAAGACACAACATGTCAGCCATGAAGCAGAAATGAGTAAAACCCTTTCTGTTTCTAATGTTTGCTTCACCAGTGATTTATAGAGAAGGCCCCCAAAAAGTTGCTGCCATGTCACATGGCCCACTGACTAACCAAGTGCTTTCTTCTTTTTGGGTTTTGAACAAAATCCATTTTCAAATCAACTGCTTTCTTCTTTTCGGGTTTTGAACCAAAGATAAAAGACGTGATGGAAACATTTCCACCCATGTTTTTTATGGCAAAGAAAAAAACACGTTAAAAGGTTTTCAAAGATACCCATAGATATGCAGTGAAATTGGTCTGTCAGCATTGATTTCCATTTTCTATTTTTTTTTGGGAGAACAACCGAACAGCCCGTTGCGTTAAATTTACCGATTAGAAGCTAGAAGCGATCGTGTTCAGTCGACACTCCAGTCTATATGATCTTCATTGTGTATAAGCATTGATGTTATTTCTTGTTTAAAGTAAATATTTGATGTTGGTATTGTTCTTGTGCGAAGATTTTTTTTTTAAACAAGCGTCGATTGTTAAAGTAGATCACTTTTTGGCCTTTTAGTAACACATCGTCATTTACTGCTTCGATAGATATCCCTTTCTATTGTAAAAGTTTTGGTCTATGAGTAAGTATTCCCTACATACGTACATACCTCGATACCTCCATCCTTATCTCATAATGTCATTTCGTCTTGCCGCAAACAAAGTTAGTACAATCACTCCCTTGCATAGATTCGACCAGGCTAAGCCACCCAATCTGGAATGGAGTTTCAGGTTCCAGAGTTGAATATCTGGTTTATATATGTATGTTTTTATATACGTAGATATATATACAAAGACATAGACGTGTACATATACATACAGACTTATATGTATGCATATACATACATATATAAAATATATTGGCACTTAACGCGTTCAGACCCTAAAACCAATGCAAGAAAGTGAAAACCAAGATATAATTACGTCAACATCTAGTGCTGCTCATATTATGTATCTCATAAGTAAATATAAAATCTGGCATCAGGTTTATAATTTTAAGGTTTCATGTGTATAGAATAGTGAGGAACCGAAATGATGTTGCGTCATGTTCCAGGAAAGTGAAAGTGAAGATGATCTGATTGAAGGTGAGGAGGATGACGATGAGGACGTTGATGATGAACCTGAAGAGGCTCCTACACAAACTGAGCCTGTTGTCAAGAAAGCTTTCCCTGCTCCAGTCGCACCTAAAGATACAGAGAGGCAACTGTCTAAGAAGGAGCTGAAGAAGAAAGAGCTAGCAGAGCTAGATGCTGTTTTGGCTGAGTTGGGAATATCAGGAAAGGATAGCGGAAGTTCTAGGCAAATAAAAGAAAATGGTAATTTGCTTTACATTTTCGAAGAACGCCACAATCCGTTTAGATTTTAATATAATCTTGCTACATTTAATTTTTTTTTTTTGAGGCGATAATTTTCCCTTGCATTTGTCTTTTTCTCCCATGATTGCTTGTTTGATATATATTAACAGCAAGAATGGGAGCCTATTGAATCAGTTCATCTGCTCCTGCTGATTCTACAAATTTAGGAACTGAAAATAAGTTGCGGTCACACCCTTTTTTTTGGGTGGGGTTTTTGGTGTGGGTTTTTTTTGGGTTTTTTTGTTTTGTGGGGTCCATTAGATGTCTTTCCCTTTGGCTCACAAATTGTGAATGTTTGAACTTTATAATGTATTTATGTCCTTAGGTGGTTATGTGAGATTAGAATAAGACCCATGGAGGATTACCGTTGTAGCTACATTTTTAACATAATCTAACCCAACTCTCTCTATCCATTAAAGATGCCAATGAAGAGAAGAAACCGGAGGAGAATGCCCCAGTTCCAGCAGAGACCAAGACCTCAAAGAAAAAGAAAGCAAAGAAAGAAAAACCATCAAAGGAGGTCAAAGATTCAACCGAGCAATCCAATGGCGTAGATGCTAATCCTACTGAAGAAGACAACTCTACGGTTGATGTAAAAGAGAAGCTAAAGAAGATGGCTTCGTTGAAGAAGAAGAAATCAAGCAAGGAGCTGGATGCCGCCGCAAAAGCTGCAGCAGTTGAAGCTGCTGCTAGAAGTAAAAGGCTTGCTGCTGCAAAGAAGAAAGAGAAGAACCACTATAATCAACAACCAGTGAGGTAAAAACCTCTGGTGGTTTAGTTTTGCAAGATGTAGTTGTTGTTACTTCAGTGAGTTAATTTGTGGAATGCACAATAAGACTAATTGTGGGTTGTTAAGTGCACAATAAGGTTTGAGGCTTTTTAATATCAATCATTGACTGATTATTTATTTTTCTTTTTCTTTTTTGGTTGTTTTCTCCTTTTCTTCTCATAGATAAGGTTGTTTATGTTAGTGTTGTCTCAGTTCTCAATATTTCTTCACTGCTTGATTCAACAGTCAACGTATCTATGAATTTTTCATGACCAAGCGCCAGAAATCTTATGAGAACATCTGCATCTTGCTGTGCCTTTGAATACTAAAGTGTCCAATCAGATGTAAATCAAATCAAGTATCAGTAACCTTCTGCCTTTGGAAATCAAGGCAAAGGGTATGACTATGGCCATTCCATGTAAAAGCTGTAAGCTCAAAATTTTCCATGTAGGCTGTAAGATAAAATTTTAAAATAATAATAATAATAATAATTTCCCCTTTCCTTCGTCTTGCGATACCGCAATTAATTGAGAGCAGTTGGACAATTACATAAAGATTTCACCAGCATGAACCAAAACATATTTGCTGTAACATGTAAAATCTTGCGTACTCGTGAAAGAAACGCTCCTCAAATTGCAACAATGCAGCGCAAGTACTGTTAATACAGTTAATTTTACCAACAGATACAACAGTATAACATTGTGGCCAGCAAAAACTATCAAATGTAGATCATTGAATCAATTGGTTCTCATCAGCTCAAAACAATTGAAACAAAATCAAACAAAAGAACAGGTCACATCTTATAACAAATACAAAAATGTAATATTTTTGCCTAAGATGACTGGCCTTGGATCACCAAAATCTCCAAGGATCCTTATAGGGGGGTACATAATTATCTGTTGGAGGAAGTAGACGGAATGATTCCACAGTTTGCCGTAAGAATGGTCCCATCTGCAAAAATAATTAATCAATTTTCTCGTCATGAAGACACCCATATGTGTTCCTTGCTTCCAGTTATCAACCAAGCCATAGACCAAAAATAGAGCTCTATAAAATCTTATGCTCCTTTCTTTCTTTCTTTCTTTCATCCAGACAAGGAGAAGCAAATTCTTGGGCAATTTGCTCACTGTTTTTTAATACACAATCACTTCTACCGTCCATAGCATTCTCCAAATAGCCAAAAAAACCCACAAATTACATGAATTAAAAAAAGAGTTAATTGCTGACACATACCCTCTATTATAGCGAGTTCACTACTTTGCAGATAACTACCTCATTAGGTAGCACTTATCACCCCTCAACCACTTTACTAGCACCTAAAACACCCCAGGATTCACACTTTGAGGAGGTTAAAATTGAAGATAACCCCCCTCTCCCTTACAAATCTAGGGGTGTCTCCCTTATAAATCTCGGGGTGCTGAGTGCTAATAAAATAGTTGAGGGTTGATAAGATCTATTGAAGGTATAAGTGAAGGGGACTGCATTTTACCCCTTTTTTATTAGCACTTAGAAGGCTCCCGAATGTCCAAACAAAGTTCTCTATTATCTGCATTTGTACTATAGGAGGTCTATATTCAACACCTAGAAGAGAATTTAATAGAATGAAATATTAGGGTATCTCTCCGCAACACATTAATTTAACGTTCACCCACATATCAAATACGAATGATGGGCAGAGAACTCTGTTTTGCGATCGGGGTTCAAAGTGCTAGTTTTTTTGGTGGGAATAAGTGGCTAACCCCACAAACAGAGAGCAGATCTGAAAGTAACCCCGGAACAATTTTCTACTTTCTCCCCCTTATCAGTGATGATTGTCATTTTTAACAAAGTCAACCAAATTTTTCATAGCAGAATATGAAATGCAGACTAAAAAGATGATTACACCTGGTGCTTGTAGACCAATCGATTTATCGTAATCGCACAGCATGAAAACAAACATCTGGTAGAATGTACTGCGAGAATATCTTGGCCATGACTTTACACACCATTGCAAAAGAAGTGATAAATATACATAAAGCTTTAACACTCAAACAGTGATCTTTTCATGGTATCAATTAGTACGTTTAAAGAAAATGATAAATTATCTGGATAAAATAATGACAAAAAAGATGACAATATGGTAAAGGGGCTTACATAATCCCATTTCTTGCCAATAGTTGAGGCATTCAGAGAATACAAATATCCTGTGAAAGCATAAGTTAGAATGTCAGCTAATAATGCACAATGAAAATGTCTGGAGTAGTTCTTTTTTTTCTTTTTCTTTTTTTTTTTTTGGGTGGGGGGTGAGGGGAAGAAGAAGAGCTTGGACTGCATTGCCAATGATAAAGGCAAATAAATTTTGCATTTTTAACTCACTAGTTGATATCATGTTCAATAAGAATTTAAAACAGGAAAAAAAAAAAGTTAATACCGTCTCGCTCTCCAGTAGAAGCCACATTGTGTCTATAAACGTTTGATTCTTGCACCTGATACCGGGCATCAAAAAGATGTTCAAATATCTCTCGAAACTTATTCAAAAATAACAACATGAAAAACATAGAAACCCACAATTTTGTTTGTTTATTATTCCACAGACCTCATTATCAAGCACCAGTTCTTTTTTTTTTTTGGTTATTATTGATTGAAAATCTCTTTCAAAAGTGAAGAGCAGAAAACTTACAACTTTTGTAGGAGATTTCCGAACAAGATACTCATAGTACCAGTAAGGTTCACCGTCCACCTATATATAGAATGACCAAATAATTTGATAGGTCAGAAGAATGAATCCAAATACAAAAGTTGCATATAAATGCTTACTTTGTTAGAATGTGCGTCAAGAACAGAACTCTCAACCGTGCGCTGGTCCGTGGATACAGGCTGCACGAAAAAAGAAACAGTCTGTGTAAGGCATATTTGATGGTGCATTCCTAAATAGTATCTCATAAACCAAGTTTACATGGTATTATATGAATAAAAAATGTAAGCAGGTATTTATTTGGTGCACCTTCATAATAACAATGTAGTTATAAAAATACTTTTATAACAGAAGTATATATGCTGGGGTGCCAAATTTCAAGCAGGACGACTATACTCTCTTTTTATTTCCTACAATCATATATTCAAATTCTAACGGTTGTACCTCTCATATATATTATGCCTTTCAACATCGCCTTTCACAAGCAAAACTGATCAATGAATTGGTACCTTGTGCAATTTTAACCCCATAAATAGGACTTGGCAATTCCCTTGCTTATGATAACTTTCTTGATGTTCCAGTATCATAAAAACAAGAAACAGTCTTTTGCCTTCTTACTTTTTACTTTTGGTTAAAGTGATTGGGCAATAGTACCAGTGCAGACTTGTCGGATAAAACAGAATCAGCGATATCTTTTGCCGTCCATGATCCCTTGTCATTAGAAGTTAGAAATCGAGAATTTGGGGGACCAATCTGCACACATAGACCTGAAATCATTAATCAAACTTTGCAGAGATTTGTATTAAATTAGAAGAGAACATCTTCACCGAAGAGCCATAGTAACCTTTACTTGCTTGAGAAGAAGCATTTGAAAAGTGCAAATCAAGAGGCTAAATAGATAACTTATGACTTCTACCTTTACACTCTTCAAGTGCTTTCTTCCATGACAACCTGAAGGATGTCATTTCACATGAAATGAATTGCTAAGGCTATTAATGGGAGATTTCATAGTTACATCAAAGTTACCGAAACAGAGATGACAAGGTTATTGATGATGTCAACTCGCTCATACACAATGCGCTGTCGTGCATTAGCTGTTTAATATAAACTTTGTTAGCTTACACTGGAAAATTTATGTTGAATAGTTAAATAACTGGATATGCAAGTATGCTTCATATAAAGTTTAATGGAAGTACTTAATACAGCTGACTGGCCATTTCCATGTGTTGTCAAAAAGAAAAAATTTATTACCAAGAGTTTGAAGATAATTAGGAGCCCAACTTACGTGATAGTGGAGCAGCAGATGAATAACGTTCTGGTTTTCTCGATTCCACCCTTAAAAAGTTACAAATGTTAGATCAGGATAGGATTTATCACATTATATGTATGAAAAGAATGCAAACTTTTGAACTTGAATATTTGACGCAGAAATAAAAGATATATCAACAATCAATGTAGCTTGTTCTAGAAAACTGAAGTGTTGAATTTATTATAGCGCTTTTAATGAGAATACCAGACCTAAATGGAAAAAAAATATGAGATTCTGCATATGGCTCAAGGAACATATTGCAAATTACCATTTGAAGGTAAGTTTCTTTGCAGGCAACTCAATAGGGTATAGAAAAGAATATGCATTGATGTCATCCACTGATAAAGCCATTTTCACATCTTCACTCCCCAGTGCAAGCTCAGCATGTACATCTACAAAAAAAAAAGAAGAAGAAGAAGAAACAATGCATTAACAAATATAGAGTTGTAAGAATACACAGATTTAGATGGAGTGGATTGTGACTGGAATAAAAAGAAGAGGTCACACATTTCTTTTCTCAATTATCTAGTCTAAGAGAAAACAAACTCTGATATATACCAATGACCTACATCACTATGCTCAGAGTAATTCTTAAAATCTGCTTAATATATATGAACATTACAGGTCATAATGCATGTTAACACAATCAAACAAAGATTAAATACAAACCACAACCATCACTGAGAATCTGTCAGAACAATTTAGCGAGCTACCTGGTTCTGGATGAATAGCCTTTTTTTTACTAAAACCAGTTAAGAACTTAAGATTTATCAAAAGAGAAGAATGTGTCGTGCTAGTAATCTAATCTTTGAGGCCTTGTCTATGAAGTTTTGACTAGTAAGAAGCGTCAAGTGGAACCTTCTCAAACCTTTTGTTATGTAATGCAAAAACATTAAACATCTTATTTATGATATCCGCCCACCTCCGTAGCACTCGCAAAGAATCCAAATAGAGTAACTCAGATTGCCAAGGGCATTATTCTCATAAGTAAATAGTCTTGAGTCTCTTGAGTTTTAACTCCCACAATCCACAATGGAAGTGTCACTTAGAGATAGTTCTATAGGGTTATAGAATTAAGAGGATGCTCAAAGAGCATTGACATGCATTCTCAGCAACACAAAAAAAAAGGGGGACTCAGGCAGGGACTTATGTTTTGATTGCAAATGTGAACTGCAAGAGGTTAGTTCCTCGGTTGAGTTTACTTTCAGCACAATATAGGTATTTGTGTCTCTTTCCATTATAACAAAACCAATGTTGTTTTATGGAAATGTCAATATCATCTCTATATTGGTACTAATTCATCTAGTTGGTTCATTCTGTTGTATTAAGGGTTGTCCCCTGTGCAGGACAAATACACAGCATATGAAAGTCTCTTGTAAAAATCCCGTTAAGCGACAATATTAAATTGTAATAAAATGGCACAATTCATCTATGTATAGCAACCTCTGCTTCAAGTAATCTCACTAGTTCTAAACAATATAATTCTAGACTAATTCCTTTTTATTTCACTTTTTATCTTCTTTGCACATTAAGTTCTCAAATAACTAACTTGAGGTAACTAGGCAATCAAGTTACGTGACACTGTTCAATTGGGTATGCTTGATATTGCTTAAAAAATAATTTATTACAAGCTTTTTATCCTTATCTTGTGTTTGAAGGCATTTAACGGCCAAAATCAAAACGTAAAACCTCTATCCTAAAATCGGAATTTAGAAAATATCCTCTTCTCTCTTTAAGAAAACCCTCAGCCTACAAATAAATATTCTTAATGAATGTAGAGCTGGATAAGACGCAAGCTAATTTGAAACTCTCTTTTACCATGAGAAGGGAATAAAAGAGCAGCAGAAGTTGAGATGCCAAAGAGAACCAAATCCCTTCTCTGGATGCTTTTTGATGAAATGGGCGCCGAGTAAGAAGATACAATGACATGGGTTTTCTTAAAAAACCCAGTTTTTTCTCTCCTCTTTGATGAACCAAGTTGCTGGTCCCTGCACACAAATCCAAAGAGAAAATCAGAGAGAGAGAGAGAGAGAGAGGGTAGAGGTGAATTTGTACCTCTTACAGAGAGACAAGGGAGAAAAAGAGGGAGGCGAGAAGAGAGCTGCTGCCATTAGAGCACCTCTTGCGCTCTCTCTCTCTCTCTCTTCGGGATTTTATTGTGATATGGTTGCTAGAAATTGAAAAAGAAAGAAAAATTAAAAGCTGACATGTGAAGTCTTTTAGCAGATATAACCTGCACAATACTCGATTTGCATGTGTATAGGCTTTAATTTTTTTTTCTAGATTAATGGCTGAGGGACCCCAAATAGGGGGGGAGCACGTGAGGTGTCCCCCTGGTTGCGTGATGCACTGTTCATGTGCAGCGCCCTTTTTTCTAGGTCTGTCATATCAAAACTTAAATTCTTTCCCAAATAAAATCAAATCTAGATCAGAATCAAATCCAAAATCATGAAAGATTTACTGGAATCCCCCAATCGTCTGGATCACTCATGATGGTTTTAGATTTGAGCATGTTATTTAGAAATATGAACACTTATAGCTTAATACAATAAAACCCTAGTTTTACCCATAGTTACCTCTTTTCTTTTTTTTTACTTTGATACATAAAGTTATTTTTTGTACCAAAAAATACTCCAAAATTCAATAAAATTAAACTTTGATAGGCAAATCATCTTTCTTGTCCAAAAAATTATCCCAAAGTTCAATAAAATTTAGTCTTAATACTTTTTATGCATACAACCTAGGTTTGTCATTTGAGTTACCTAGATCACATACGACGAAGATGTTGACTTAATCAACCGGGTACGCACCTTAAACTTTGAAGTGTAGGACATCTACACTTAGTATAATTTTACGGTTAAAGGCCACGTAGTTGACCTAAAAGCCCAAAAAAGAGACCTAGGTCTATAATAGCTGGCCTCAACGGGTCGGCTAACATGCTTTATCTCAACCTGACCCAGTTTATACAGCAGTCCATTTTAATTGGAGATAATTGATTCGAATCGTATCTCATCCTCAACATAATATGTTAAAGATATTAATTAATCAATTACTTTAATTGCCGACTCCTATATAAATGCTCAATCTACACTTGCATCGGCTGCATCATTCTACGCCAATTAGGTACTATCATGTAGCTCGGCTTGTTGCCCAAGTATCAAACTTGCAAGCCAAGTTATAAAATCAAGAGCTAAACTTACGCCACCACAATCTCAATCATTAGGATGGTGGCATGTATACAAGCTGATCCAGTATAAATGCCCTCCTACCTTAAGTAAGATCAATGATAGATTTTTACTAGATGACCGACATGGGTTAATTATCTTCCACCTCAAAACACCTCTAAACTACCTACTACTTACTTTTGATCTCTTTTATCAAGAATCTAACTTATGCATTGGAGGGGCGTTCGTGGACACACTTTTTCTGTGTTGCAGAGACTGATTCTACATCAACAATCCAAACACGACGTTCATCATCTACTTCAGCCATCCAAGTTGGTCAAGGGGCCCACCTCTACAAGTCCAGTCCTTAAGACTCAATAATTGTAAGATTTTCTGAGCATCAACAGTTTGTTGGATTTAATCTAATAAATCTATTTGTGGGCACATATGATTAATCAATGTGTATTGCTATCTTTCAGGATAACCCACTAAAGTGATCAATTAAGTTGGGTTAATGGGTATTTAAATATAATCATGGGGTTATATGTGCAGATACCAGGTTGTAATTGTGATTTATTGAGGGGCTAAATTACAAAAGTACAACATCTATAAATAAGGGGTTATGGTCCCTAATCTAGGGTTACTACATTCTCTAATTCTATTCACCCCCATCTAAGAGAGAATTTTGGCTAAAGAGAAAACCCTAAGGTTAGAAGATCCAAAACCCAAAATCAAGATCAAGCAATGGATTCAGGTATAAGCTTCCGCTCTTTTAGATTTTTGTTAATCTCTTTGAATTAATCATGGCTATATGGTTTTAGATCTCAAGTTTATGATGTAGATCTAACAAGTGGTATCAGAGCCACCTTGATTAATTCTTAGGGATTTAGGTTTTATTGGGTTTTTGATCTTAAATCTCTGGTTAAAGATTCAATTTTTGGGTTCGGATGAACAGTAATGTTCGGTGAACAGTAACGGAAATTTTTTTTTCGGGTGAAAAGTAAAGTTTTTTTCCGGATGAACAGTAACTGAAAAAATCGCCGGTGAACAGTAACTTTTGGAATTTTTTGGATTTTTCTTTGATTTTTTTTCTTCAATTTTTTCCAATTCTGGATCTGTTTTGAAAATAAAAAATCAAAGATTTTTGGGTTTGACGGCGGCGGTTTCAGTTTGAAACCCTAAGGGTTCATGGCGAAAATTGAGGAGGTGGTTACCTCAAACGAACTTTGCGTTCGTTCCAAGGATGAACTCTGCGTTCAATTTTTAACGAACTTTGCGTTCGTTCTCAGGTTGAACTCTGCGTTCATTTTTAACGAACTTTGCGTTCGTTCTCAGGTTGAACTCTGCGTTCATTTTTTAACGAACTTTGCGTTCGTTCTCAGGTCGAACATTGCGTTCGTATTCAGATTGAACTCTGCGTTCATTTTTAACGAACTTTGCGTTCGTTCTCAGGTTGAACTCTGCGTTCATTTTTTAACGAACTTTGCGTTCGTTCTCAGGTCGAACATTGCGTTCGTACTCAGGTTGAACTCTGCGTTCATTTTTTAAACGAACCTTGCGTTCGTTCTCAGGTCGAACATTGCGTTCGTACTCAGGTTGAACTCTGCGTTCATTTTTTAACGAACTTTGCGTTCGTTCTCAGGTCGAACATTGCGTTCGTACTCAGGTTGAACTCTGCGTTCATTTTTTAACGAACTTTGCGTTCGTTCTCAGGTTGAACTCTGCGTTCATTTTTTAACGAACTTTGCGTTCGTTCTCAGGTTGAACTCTGCGTTCATTTTTTAACGAACTTTGCGTTCGTTCTCAGGTTGAACTCTGCGTTCATTTTTTAACGAACTTTGCGTTCGTTCTCAGGTTGAACTCTGCGTTCATTTTTTAACGAACTTTGCGTTCGTTCTCAGGTTGAACTCTGCGTTCTTTTTTAAACGAACCTTGCGTTCGTTCTCAGGTCGAACATTGCGTTCGTACTCAGGTTGAACTCTGCGTTCATTTTTAACGAACTTTGCGTTCGTTCTCAGGTTGAACTCTGCCGTTCGTTCCCAAGTTGAACCTCGCGTTCTTTTATCAAACGAACCTCGCGTTCGTTCATTTTCAGACGAACCTCGCGTTCGTGCTTAAGTGAGTCTCGTACTCAATACAGTCGAACCTCGCGTTCGAAGTTAAGGGAACTTCGTGTTCATTATGGTTAAGCCTCGGCTTTTCATGGGTCCATTTTGGTATACTTAATTTATTTAATTAAGTTATGGGCCCTAATTAAGCTGTGAGACCCCAATTAAGTTTTTGGAAATTCAGTTGATTTAAATTAAATTTTTAATTTAAATCTATTTCGGTTTTTTAATCAATTATTTAATTCAAATATTATGACACTAAGGTATTAAGGTTGTCTCTCACTCCAATTGATTAATTGAAACAAGAAGTTGCCAAAGTAACCTCTCTTGTGTAGATTGTTCATGAGGAATGTGAGATGTTTGTGTGTATGCTTTCGTGTAAATATTTAATCGGCCCAAAGGAAGGTTAATATTTATTTAGACTGTATACACATCTGCGATGATAAGCGTGTGACAATTATAAGGTTTACATGTGAATAATGAATCGATCCAAAGATAGTTTCATTATTTGACATGAGTTATTGTCAATGTTTGATCATTGCAACAAGGTATCACTTACAAGTTAATATTACTGTCCAAAGACTTGATATTAATGTTGTGCCGGTATCTTGGATGGGGATTGTCATTATTTGAATTTTATTGATTATGGTTATTGATGTGAGCATTTTTGTTTTATTTCAGCTAATGCATCTGCTGCAACAATTTCTGCTAACATCAACTCAATTCCCATGCTAAATGGGACAAACTTCAAGGTTTGGAAAGAGAACATATTAATTGTTCTTGGCTGCATGGATCTTGACTATGCATTAAGAACTGAACAACCCCAACCTCTCAATGCGGATAGCACTCCTGATGCAAAGAAGGAGCATGAGAAGTGGGAGCGTTCAAATCGCATGAGTCTTATGATCATTAAGCGCGGCGTTCCGGAAGCCTTCAGGGGCATAGAATCCGAAGGGATTACTAAGGCTAAAGATTTCCTTGCCGAAATTGAGAAGCGTTTTGCGAAAAACGATAAGGTAGAAACAAGCACGCTTTTAGCTCGCTTGATTTCAATGAAGTATAAGGGCAAAGGAAATATCAGGGAGTACATTATGGAAATGTCTCATATTGCTTCAAAGCTTAAGGCACTTAAACTCGATCTTTGTGACGAGTTATTAGTGCATCTGGTTTTGTTGTCTCTTCCTGCACAGTTTAACCAATTTAAGGTCAGTTATAACTGTCAAAAGGAGAAATGGACTCTAAATGAGCTCATTTCATACTGTGTGCAAGAAGAAGACAGGTTGAAGCAAGATAAGACAGAAAGTGCTCATTTGGCCTATGCCTCTAAGGATAAGGGCAAGAAAAGGAAGAATGATAAGGAAGCTGCTAAGGGTCCAGTTGAGAAGAAACAACATAAGGATAATCAGGGTTGTTTCTTCTGTAAGAAGCCTGGACATGTAAAGAAGGACTGTACAAAATATCACGCCTGGCGTGATAATAAGGGTACGTTCCTTGCTTTGGTCTGTTCTGAGGTTAATTTAGCTTCAGTACCTAGAAACACTTGGTGGTTAGACTCTGGTGCTACTACTCACATAAGTGTTTCTATGCAGGGTTGCCTGAGCTACCGAAAGCCAAGTGATGTTGAAAGACACATCTTTGTGGGCGACGGACAATCGGTAGATGTGGAAGCAATTGGGCACTTTAGGTTGTTGTTAGGAACTGGTTATTATTTGGATTTAAAAGATACTTTTGTAGTACCGTCTTTTAGACGGAATTTGGTTTCTGTTTCTGTATTGGACAAATCAGGTTATTCTTGTTCATTTGGAAACAGTCAATTCAGTTTATCTTTTAATTCAAATGTTGTGGGAACCGGTTACTTGAGTATTTATGACAACCTATATTTGCTTGATACAATTGC